ATTTCAATTAATGGTTTGAAAAAAAAAAAGTGGAGCTCTAGGATCAGTATCATGAATTGACAACAATTTCATAAATTTACGACTTTTATGGATGTTCTGGATGTTTTAGTGGACCACCTCGTGGTTTCTAGTGACCGAATTCCGGTCATAACTTCACATTAATTACGATGATGATGATGATGATGATGATGATGATGATGATGATGATGATGATGATGATGATGATGATGATGATGATGATGATGATGATGATGATGATGATGATGATGATGATGATGATGATGATGATGATGATGATGATGATGATGATGATGATGATGATGATGATGATGATGATGATGATGATGATGATGATGATGATGATGATGATGATGATGATGATGATGATGATGATGATGATGATGATGATGATGATGATGATGATGATGATGATGATGATGATGATGATGATGATGATGATGATGATGATGATGATGATGATGATGATGATGATGATGATGATGATGATGATGATGATGATGATGATGATGATGATGATGATGATGATGATGATGATGATGATGATGATGATGATGATGATGATGATGATGATGATGATGATGATGATGATGATGATGATGATGATGATGATGATGATGATGATGATGATGATGATGATGATGATGATGATGATGATGATGATGATGATGATGATGATGATGATGATGATGATGATGATGATGATGATGATGATGATGATGATGATGATGATGATGATGATGATGATGATGATGATGATGATGATGATGATGATGATGATGATGATGATGATGATGATGATGATGATGATGATGATGATGATGATGATGATGATGATGATGATGATGATGATGATGATGATGATGATGATGATGATGATGATGATGATGATGATGATGATGATGATGATGATGATGATGATGATGATGATGATGATGATGATGATGATGATGATGATGATGATGATGATGATGATGATGATGATGATGATGATGATGATGATGATGATGATGATGATGATGATGATGATGATGATGATGATGATGATGATGATGATGATGATGATGATGATGATGATGATGATGATGATGATGATGATGATGATGATGATGATGATGATGATGATGATGATGATGATGATGATGATGATGATGATGATGATGATGATGATGATGATGATGACCCCTACAAAGGTTTGAGCTGGACGATTAATCTTTAGGATTATTAAATATGACAATTTAACCAGGTTTGCAAACAAAATCGAACTGGTTACAGTTACAGATATAAATTCCCTCTAGAGTTTACAGTTCCTTCCCAGCGAAATTAATGTGGAAAAACTCAGGCGTCCACCTCTTAGTTCGTCTTTTTGTCCACCTAACATATTCATAAGTATTACAAGCAATCAAGAGTTAATGAACAATCAACAAAGCATCCTATTACACTAGCCACCCCGCAATCTGATGCTATCATAATTTTCAGCAATGTCAGACATTTGCCAGAAAACTTACTACTAACTCAAGGTAGGGGAAATGACGGCTTCGGCATGACAGACTATTTTCGGCAACCCAAATTGAAACACTATTTTCACTGGATTTTCTTACGAAAACACTTCGCAGAATGCATGCAAACGATTCTTTATGCTTTCAGCTTCAATTTGACTATATTTTTACCACTGAGAAAAAGCAATCTAGCAGGGTTTTCTTGAAATGAAACACACGCACTACAAATTGTAGCTGATTTCGAGTTGCCGATAATAGAACAGCAGATTTACATGCAGTTCAAATGGAACGGTTGCCGAAGAAAAACTGGTTGCCGACAATACTCGCTCTCACTAGAGAACATTGGAGCTTTGTAAAAGCGTTTCAAAACAGTTTTTGACAATTCTTTCGACTGAAATTGTTAGAGCAGCTGGCAGCAAATGATTTTAAACAAACCAATACTGCATATGTGTGCGTTCCATAGAGGAAAAGGCTATAGAAAGAAGGTCGCTGCTTAGGTTGCCGAGAATACGTAAATCTTCCAAATAAGCTTCAAAATTGCATTTTTTTTTATCAAATTTTAAATTTAGTCCTCTATACCTATACTTTTTTTTTTACCTCTATACCCGTAAAACGCTTGCGAGGCTCAAACCTTTGTAGACTACCTTTTTTTTTAAATTTAACTACTACTAAATCAAATATTAAAAATCCATCATCACCATGGTGGTACAGAAATAGTTTTTGCAGTGCTTCAATAATTATTAAAAAGTCGTTATGACAGCTATCCATATAAAATAATCCGTTAGAGATAACTTCGTCAAGATACATAATTTGTCAATTCATAAAAAAAATCACTGAATAACTGTTCAAAAGACAGTTTTAACGTGTGAAATGCAGTGTCTTTTAAATTCTGTAAGTGTTGCTGAACGTTTGATATGTAAAGACATCGAATTGAAAACATTTATTCTTTTATAACATAATGAATTTTGTGAATCACAAGTCGAGAAATGTGTCGAGTTCTTATTTCAACCGCGTTTCTAGTATTATATCTATGAAAGTCACTTCCTCTTTCAATTCGATCACACAAATATCGAGGCAGCAAACCGTTAACTACTTTAAAAATCAACACCATAGTCAAATATACAATTCTTTGCTTCACCGACAACCATTGTAAGGCGTCTAGCATCAAAGTTGAGGAAGTGAATCTATTACATCTCAAAATCAAACGCATTATTTTATTCTGCAAGCGCTGTAATCTCGATATTTATGTTGCATTGGCCAAAAATAAAATGGAAGGGCAAAAATCTAGATGAGGAGAGATGATTGATTTGTATAGCTGTATTTTACTGGCAATAGTTAAATCATTTTTCAGTCGACATAGATTTCCATACTTCTTGGTAATTTTCTTGATGACATTGTCAATGTGAGAGTTGAACTTAAGTTTGTCATCAATAACCACGCCAAGATATTTAATCTCCCGAACGCGATCAATAGTCTCATCATCAATTACAACAGAGACGTTCACATTTACTCGATTACGGGAAATTACCATAAACTAAGTTTAACTTGTATTCAATTTCAACTGCTTATACTTCAACCATCTACTTATTGAACGCAAATCTTCATTCAAGTGTAAAACGGCATCATCTAAATCCTTAGCTGCAACGAATAACACAGTATCATCTGCAAATTCATTAATGTCGCAAAATCGTAAGACACGTGTCATGTCATTAAAATTCATAATAAATAACAGGGGCCCTAATACACTTCCCAAGGGCACTCCAAGGTTATTCCTCACGGGACTGGAAACAGAACAGTCCGTTGAGTTCTATCAGACAAATGGCATTCAAACCATTTATATGCAGTACTCGTAATTCCAAAGCGCTTGATTGATCTTAACAATAAAGGCCTAGAAATTGTTTCAAAAGCACGTTTAAGATCCAAAAAAACAGCAACAATCGTATCTTTACACTCCAAGTTATTTTTCCACTTCGCTAATACCAAATTCAACGCCAACCAAATTAAAGACTTTAACGGATGTTCTGTATGTTTTATTGGACCACCTCGTGGTTTCCAGTGACCAAATTCCGGTCATAACTTCATATTAATTATGATAAGACTTCTATGAGAGGTTTCGAAAAAACCGCGGTTGCTTAGGACCAGTTTCATGAATTTACCACCTTTACGGATTTCCGGATTTTGCTGTGAATCATTACGTGATCTCCAGTGACTATATTCCAGTCACAACTTCGGATTCATTCTGATAAGACGTCGATGAGTGGTTTTGAAAAATACGGGAAGCTTTAGGATCAGTATCATGCATTGACCATTTTTACGGATGTTCTGGATCTTTTAGTTGACCATCCCTTAGTCCCCAGTGTCAATATTCCGGTCACAAGTCCGAATCCATTCTGATAAAACGTCTATGAGTGGTTTCGAAAATTCGTGGAGCTCTAGGATCAGTTTCATGAATTGACGACTTCTACGGATGTTCCGGATCTTCTAGAGGACCATCCCGTAGTCCTCAGCGTCTATATTCCAGTCACAACTCCGAATTTATTCTGATAAAACGTCTATGAGTGGTTTCGAAAATTCGTGGAGCTCTAGGATTTATGAGTAGTTACAAAAAAAAACGTGGAGCACGAGGATCAGTTTAATGAAGTGACCACTTTTACGGACGTTCCGAATCTTCTAGAGGACCATCCCGTAGTCCTCAGCGTCTATATTCCGGTCACAACTCCGAATTTATTCTGATAAAACGTCTATGAGTGGTTTCGAAAATTCGTGGAGCTCTAGGATCAGTTTCATGAATTGACGACTTCTACGGATGTTCCGGATCTTCCAATGGACCATCCTGTAGTCCCCAGAGTCCAAGTTCCAGTCGAAACTCCGAATTCATTGTAATAAGACGTCGTGGTTTCTAAAAAAAAACAGAGCTCTAGGATCAGTTTCATGAATTGACCACTTTTGCAGATGTTCCGGTGAAGCAACCCGTGGTCCCTAGGGTTCATTTTCCGGTCACAACTCCAAATTAATCAGTCTCTTGACAAGACGTTTATGAGTGGGTTAGAAAAAAAAACACGAAGCTACAGGATCAGTTAAATGATTTTACCACTTTTACGGATGTTCCGGATCTTCGATTATACTATCACGTAGTCCACAGCGTCCATATTCCGGTTCAAAATCTGAATTAATTCTGATGAAACGTATATGAGTGGTTTCGAAAATTCGCGGATATTCCGGATCTTCCACAGGACCAGACTTTTGTCCTACCAGAAACTGACTGTTTCTAAAAGGTGGCCAATTATCTGCTTAACAACTTCTTCAAAGACATCAGGAAGTTATCTCTTCAAATTGCTGTACAATCAGTGTTTTTTTTTAGCTCTAACCACATATGATACGTGTATTCGTTAATGCCGGTTCCTATTGTGCGGTCCATATTAACCGTACTATAGGAATCTTGACTGTACTTATAAAATAAACTTACATTTTTATAAATTCCAGGCTTTCACCGATTGGCGTCCTATCGCTCATTATGGCCAAGTTTTTAGAGATGGATGACATAGCGGACGTATTCAACAAACTTGGACTGTACTTTGCGGTTGTGTCGTGCGGATTAGTCTTCCATGGAGCTGTTACTCTTCCATTGATTTATTTTATATTCACCCGCAAAAATCCGTACCCATTCCTCGCGAACATGGGACAGGCCTTGACAACTGCTTTCGGTGCCTCATCTAGTACGGCAGCGTTACCAGTAACGATTAAGTGCTTGGAAGAAAAGAATCACATCGACCCTCGCATAACACGTTTCGTTATTCCAATAGGGACCACTATCAATATGGATGGCACGGCGTTGTATGAGGTTTGTTCCTGTAGAAAAGTAGTACATGCTGATTATTGAGTCTTAAATTTATTTATTAATCTAGGCGGTGGCGGCAATATTTATAGCACAGATGCGTGGAGTGGAAATGTCATTCGGGAAGGTTCTAGCTGTGGCTATCACGGCAACTGCAGCCAGCATAGGAACAGCGGCTGTTCCTCAGGGCGGTTTAGTAACGTTGGTTATGGTGCTGGATTCGATTGGTCTACCCAGCGAAGATATTTCGCTCATCATTGCCATCGATTGGTTGGTGTAAGTATGCAAATTTCTTGGCTGGATCATTATGTTTGTTAAATTATTCGTTCAGGATTGGAATGGTGCATAATAAGATCTATGCCAATGGTAGTTTTGATCTCTCAACATGTTGGCCAACTGTTTTTCAGAAAAATATAAATATATTTGGCACACGGACCAGAAAAAGACTGTGTTCACTTCTATAGTGCAGACGAAATTCAATTTTACAAAATTTATCTACAGGGTTTATATAAAGAGTCCGGTCAATGACTTTTGGCTGATCAATAATTCAAAACAATATCTATACAAAAAGTGGTGCAGAAGGCATAATAATATTGCCTAGGTGTTGCACCGTCGATGAATGTTGTCGTATAAGCGGTGCCGGTGGTGTAGTGGTAAGCGTGATTGCCTCTCACCCCAAAGGGCCTGGATTCTATCCCAGTCAGCGCCGCCGGGATTTTCTGAGGCATAAAATCTCTGATCATGCCCTCCTCCATGAGATGATGGGTCGATAGGTAGGGTCCAGGTGTGGGAGCTGCCTCCCTGGCGTCAGTAGCATTGGTACTCAGTACAGAAAACAAAACAAAGAAAAAAAAAATGTTTTCGCATGTTCATATGCGATGCGATGTTCAAAACAAAACCTAGTGTAGTACTAGAATTTCGACTAAAACTGGATATGTTAATACCACAGACAGACAAACAAATTAGTACCAACAATCAATACGAAACTATCGATTTGAAATTGGCTCACTACTTGACTAGCCTATTGGTCCCAAGCAAATGTTTAACGTACCCCATTCTAGTTGAAATTCTAGTACTACATTATGTTTGTTTTGATTCTCTATGAAAATTTGACAGATAAAATAAGGGGTTCGTGGTTTTTCCCATGTTTCGAGGGGTGCATCGATTAGCTTAAGACCTAAGATAATACCAGAGCTGAGCCAAAAAGTAGAGCACGTTTATTCGGGACCTTCTTCATACGATGGTAATGGAAATGCAGTCCAATTCAGTTTACGTAAAGCATATAAAAGGAATTGTTTTTGGACAGATTCTATGCGGTCTACGTGTATGGATTCCATACTAGGTGGCAGTATCCCAGAATTAGCCTTACATATGTGGTATATAATAGCTTAATAGTGTGTGGGTCTTCGAAATTATGACTGAACCTTTTAATGACGCCTAACATTATGTTTCCTTTACTAATGATAGTATTGTAATGTTCTATAAAAGTTAGTGTGGAGTGTGGATTACAGCTAGATCTCTTACAATTTTGCATTTTTCTACTATTTGGTTGCCTAATGATATTTTAAAATGCGGTGTTTCAATTTTTCTGCTAAATGCTATTGCGGTACATTTTTTTTACGTTCAATTGAAGTAGACTTTTACCACAAACGAAGTGACAGACGACTAACTGGCGAAGAAATCCATTAAAATAATGTGGTTCACTGTAATAGAATTTTCTTGGAAGCTTGTGCCATCATCCACCAGATGGGTTAGTTTTTTTATTTTGATTTGAACAAAGTTGATTTTGTGTACAATTAATCCATAGAGGTAACTCTAAGACCACTGGGTCCCGAAGAAAATCATTATTATTTTTGGCTCACTCAGTACCAGAACAATGGTCCCAAGCAGTCCCAAGCTATTTCACTCACCCCTGCATGTTCTGCATGAATCCACACACCCCTGATGTTATCTGTCAAACTTTCATAGCGAATCAAAACAAACATAGTGTAGTAATAGAATTTCAACTAGAATAGGGTACGTTAATCGTTTGCTTGGGACCAATAGGCTACTAAAGTGAGTCAATTTAAAATCGTTAGTTTCGTATTGATTGTTGATTAATCTTTGACAGTGTGCAAAGAGTGTATCATTTTGTCATTTTTTTATGCATTTCAGTTTTGAGTAGAGTGAAAGAGATAGAACCAAAACATTCTAATACATTTGGTGAAAATGCTAGTACAATCCAGTAGTAGTGTTGCCATGTGGTACAATCCAGTAGTAGTGGTGTTGCCATGTGGTACACTGAAAAATTGAAATAGCAGGTTAGTCACCAAAGTTTTCGAGCCGCTCCGTCTGTCACTTCGTTTGTGCTTTTACTACACCAGGTGTGGAATATATTGATTTCATTCTGGAATTCTTCTGCATCGCTAGAATTACTTATTTCCATAAAGAGCTTCATGTCGTCTGCATATACAAGCAGTTTTATTTTTTTTTAAGTATGTAGGAAATGTCGTTTATGTACAAAATAAAAAGAAGTGGGCCTAAATGAGAACCCTGAGGTACCCCAGAGGTGACTGAAATTGGTTCTGAAAGTTTATTTTGAAGGCGGACTATTTGTTTACGATGTGTTAGATATGATTGAAGCCAATTCAAAAGTCCAGGCTCCATTCCTATTTTCTGCAATTTGAGGATTAATAATGGTATGTCGATGCGGTCAAATGCTTTACTGAAGTCGGTGTATAGCGCTTCAACGTGCTTGCCACTGTCCAACGCTTTAATAATGAAAGATACATATTCTAGAAGATTAGAGGTAGTTGAGCGACCTTTAAAAAAGCCGTGCTGTTTACTTGTAAATAGATTTTTCACCTGCTGAAAAATATTGCCGTTTACGATTGATTCAAAAAGTTTTGGAATGCAAGAAATAATAGCAATTCCACGATAATTTCGAATGTCTGATTTTGCACCTGATTTGAAAATAGGTACCAAATAAGATGATTTCCAAATTTCAGGGAATTTTCCATTTTTCAGAGACATGTTGAAAAGACGCTCTAGAGGAAATGCGAGTTCTTCAGAAAGGTTTTTCAAAAATATGGGTGCGATGCCGTCAGGTCCAGACCCTTTCGACGCGTTTAAGTTTTTTAGTGCATTGAGGACTTCATGTTGAGAAAGTTGGTTGACAGAGATGTTTTTAGAAATTTCAGGAATGAATGCAAAGAAATCGTAGTCAAGATCTTCTTCGGAAAATGTGGTAGAAGAATTCTCACCTACATTTGCATCCAAATTCATTCGCGAAGGAAAATAGCTACTTTTCAATTTCGTGTTTACATAATTAAATAACTTCTTATGACTTGACTTCATTTTCGACTTTGCGGTTATAATCCTCATATGCAGAGTTGATGGCTGTACTTAATATACAACCATAGAGGTAACTCTAAGACCAGAAGGTCCCGAAGGAAAGTGCTCAACTTTTTGGCTCAGCTCTGGCTCTCTCTTCGGTCCCAAGCAAAGCGATGCACCCCTCGAAACATAGGAAAATCCATGAACCCCTCATTATATCTACCAAACTTTCATAGCGAATCAAAACAAACATAGTGTATTACTAGAACTTTGACTAGAATGGGGTACGTTAATCGATTTGCTTGGGACTAATAGGCTAGTCAAGTAGTGAGCCAATTTTAAATCATTATTTTCTAACCGGTGGTACAACGTATAACCAACAATCAATACGAAACTATCGATTATAAATTGGCTCACTACTTGACTAGCCTATTGGTCTCAAGCAAATCGTTTAACGTACCCCATTCCAGTTGAAATTCGAGTACTATACTATGTTTGTTTTGATTCGCTATGAAAGTTCGACAGACAAAATGAGGGGTTCGTGGATTTTCCTATGTCGATTAACTTGGGACCGAAGAGAGTACCAGAGCTGAGCCAAAAAGTTGAGCTCGTTTCTTCGGGACCTTCTGGTCTTAGAGTTACCTCTATGGTATAGCTCTGTCAGTGCTTGTTGGTTTCCTGTAATCTTCGTATTCAAAAGAAGAAGATGAGGACGATTGCTTGATGACAAGATGGTCGAGAACTGCGATTCCGTTTTTTTCTACTTCGTGAGTGAATTTGATATCCTTATAAATTCTGTGGATCTCATCTAACATTTTTTGAAGAACCTACTACGCTGTTGTAAGTTTACCTACACATTTCGAAAAAGTAGGGTAAATTTCTGTTTAGTATGACGCACATAAATGGAGCGTCACATATCATATAAGTTTACATTATATATCATGTAAAGTTCTGAGACATTTCATACAATGTAGCAAATATTGTATACAAAAGCCCATTATTGCAAACAACGTTGTTTACAAGTTGCTCGGTTGCGTGAAATGAAATACAAGTTTACGTGAATCAATGTTTACATCACAATTAAAATTCAGAATTTTTATCTGTGTAGCTTCTAAGCGAAAACGTACCTAGTTTAATATATATATTCGGTAAGTTGTGATAAATTCTTCAATTAGTCTGCACATTGTAGACGAAATACGCGTATCTGTCAAGGATAAGCAAATAATGTAGTGGAATTAAATGGAAATTACTAATCCTTCTTTCTTTCTTTATTTTGGAAAATTCGAACTAATCCCACACCAGTGCTTAAACAATACATATGATCGAAAATAGCTTACCGAAATTTGAGAAATTTTACCCAACTTTTATCCACCGACAAACCGACAAGAATGACCATACCAAAAACAATAAAATTTCTGGCCAAAGCACAGTACTGACATCTGGCTCCGTGTTCGCGGGAAATATTTAGCTAAGCCATGAACCCGCATGCAAAAGTTATGAATTGGTTCGTGTCTGATCTATTCTGGACAAATTATTTTTATCTAGATCAAGAAATCCTATGGTTTTGACAATTCTGATCACTGCACATTTAAATCTGCCGTTTACGATTTTCGGGTATAAGTCAGAATTAAGTGTCATGTCGGTTTGTCGGTGTTTTGTCTATAAATAGATTACATATTCAAGCAGTTTTGAGAAGTTCTTCTACCAGATATTTTAGGAAAATGAGGCAATACATTACGGATTGTTTAGGCCTATCATAAATAAAACCCTGTTTTCTTAAAGTTCTAGAAACAAAAATCTCATAATATTGCTCCGTGGTAAAGTTGTAGGTTTGGTAGGTAACGTCATTTTGAACTGTTCGAATGATATGACCCATTATAGTAAACAGCTAAATTAATAATTGTAACCTTAAATTTTATTCGTGTTTTCAGAAATCGTATTCGAGCTGCAGTAAACGTTTTGGGTGACTGCTTCGGAGCTGGTATCGTTGCCCATTACAGTAAAATGGATCTCCAGAACGCCGATGTGGAACTTCAAAAATCTCCAGAAAACGTAACATTAAGTGAGGAGAAATAAATTGTTCTACATAAACTACGTAGTTTACTGTACTTTTGCATGGATGGTTGTGATATTATGGTAGCAGTCGTATGCGAAGAAAAACAAATCTGGAAAACTTAGAAATTCATTTACTCGGCCTCCTTTCGTTCTTTGCTAAATTATAGTAATCCTTAACATATGTTCGGCTCGTCTGCATTCAGGTTATGTTCAAATACATGATGAGCTGTTTGCACTGCTGAGGTGTATTTGTTCTGTAAATACCTACCTAAATAGATAGTGGAAGTTGTGCATAATACCATCAGTCTCGATTTTCACGCATTCGTTTCAGTTTTCGTTTAACCGCCAATACACCTATAAAAAAAAAAGGTATTAGAATTGCCAACCTTGGGAAAGATATCAAACCAATAAACTCACATTTGATGGTTTGGAGAACTTTGGTTGAAGAATTCTCACCATCTCTGTGCCTTGTTCCGCTTATTTTGCTTTTACTGAAAATAATTTATTTTATTCAAATAGGTTGTTTTAAGGTGCAAGAGTACGAACGCATTTCGAAAGACCGTCAGATCGAACAGATCAATTTTTGATTTCAATGTGTAATGTATGTAATAATGTATGATAATAAAATGCGCCGTACCACAATTGTTGAGACTAACTTACTCATAGAATAATTTCAACTCCAGATACGCCTGTTTAACTGAGCGGTAGTTACGGTAGTTTGGAGAATCTTTGAACAGAATGCAACGTACCGATGACTCGCCACCGATGCAATCATTCGACTGCAGGTGGTAGATTTTATGATACAGGAACTTCAGGATCGGGGAATTCCAGATACAGGAACAGTACCACAGCCAGAAAAAGAGATTTAAATACAGATACAGCTCCTTACTGTTGGCGTATAATGTGGGAATGAGAAACTCAAATGGTAGAATATTAAGGAACAGGTAGGACCTACGAGAAAAGAGCCGGTAAGTACCAAATTCGGTTTGTAAACTGTTAACGTTAACCTACCAAGAACTAAAAATAAATATCACATAGAGTTTTAAAGTACTATCACCTTTCTCGCTCGTGTGTAGCGAAAACAGTAGTAAGATTTCTTGGATCGTGTTGAATATTCCCAGATAAAGATTCAACAGTACACTGTAGTTTTCCAATCTTAGTACAAAACAGCAGATTAGTAGAGATGCGTAGAAAAACTTTGAGATCGCTTCCGAATAATCGCCATGTTTAAGTCTAGCTAGGGCACCGTTGATGTCGAATGCAACCAGTAACATGGTCACGAATTCAAATTTTATCACGTCACACGCTGTCAGGAAGATGGTATTATTGTATTGGGGGAAATATTTACTGCTCTGATTGGCAATCTGCGGGTGTATTAACAGTTTGTGATACAGACTGAGGTATATTGCAGCAGCGAAGAAAAAGCATATATTCCACGCATGATGAATAGTTTGGGAATGTTTTAATGGCCGCACACGACCCCGACGGAGGAGAAGCTGAAAAAATGGAAAACATATTTTAGACCTCATTTTATTTCAACATTATGGCACCGTCGAATCGACATGAAACTTAAACTTAACTTTTGCATGAAAATCCGATGTGTCAAACCCATTTGTATCTAGATTAAATAATGTGTCCAGAATAGATTAGACACGAACCAACTCACTCATTTTGCAAGCGTGTTCTTGGCTTAGATAAACGTTGTCCGCGTTTCAGTACATCTACTACGTAGCCAAAGGGGGGCAGGGGAGGGGGCAACTGACCCCCCTAAACTCTGCAACACAAAGGCTTTCGGTGAAATGGCATTCGGCCAAATTTTCCATAGTAATTTTTTTCGCCCCTCCCTAGCTCGAAACCTGGCTACGCCCTTGGTAGATGTCAGTAGTGTGCTTTGAGTAGAAATGTTATGGCGATTTATATTGTCATTTACTTCGGTTTGTCAGTGATTATAGGTAAACATCGTACGAATCAATCAAACCTTATGAAAACTGTTCCATTACATTAAGACATCACTATTTTACCGAAAAAATAAACAAAAATGTTGATTACACAACAAAAAAAATTCAAGTGACCTACTGTAGGCAGGGTTGCTTCCACTCATTTGCTATAACAACATTATTTTCTGAATTTTAAAATCATTAGATGTTATAATGATATTTTGTACTTGTTGGATGCAAGAAGATGTTGAAAGGCAAGTATCTGATACATAAAACCTGCCAATTTCACTTCCAGAGTGTTACTATCAGCGATTTATGATTCGTGAGCGTTCACTCAGAGTGAGCGCTCGCGAGTCGAAAAATCGCTGATTGTGATTATCTGAAAGCAAATTTGACAGGTTTTATGTGTCAAACACTTGCCTTTCAACCTCTTCTTGTATCTAACAAGTACAAAATATCATTATAACATCTAATGATTTCAAAATTCAGAAAATTATTTTTTTATAGCAGGTGAGTGGAAGCAAGCCTGACTGTAGGTTGTTAGTCTAGTCGAGTTCCACATGAAATCACATTTGAAATTGTTCTAACAACCCCAAAATGTGAAGTTATTGATATACAACCAGTTTTTTGTAAGTTTTTTTTTTTTGCTTTATTTAAGAGATTTTTAACCGTTTTTTGTAAGTGACCGCATACCACCGACAAACCAGAGCAAAAAAATAACATTTCTGACCAAAGCACACTACTGACATCTGACTCCGTGTTCGCGGGAATATTTAGCTAAGCCATGAACCTGCCAGCACAAATAATTTTTATCTAGATCAAAAAATCCTATCGGTTTGTCGGTGCGCATACTATCACGAGTAACTTGAACAGCAAAAATTCAGAGCTTTCGAAATATATAAACATTAATTGTGATTTGGCTGAAATTTGTTGAGATATGTCAAATCAAATATGATTTTTATACATTTTTATCGTATTTTTCTAACTTTTGACGCCAATAGGGTTAGTAAAACATGACCCTCCTCCCTTGCCATAATGCCATTTGTTCCAATTTGCCAACCCTAAGGCTTTTTTTCTAAAATTTGAGGCAAATCGGTCAACATTTACCCATTTGAAGCTTATTTTTCCGAGTTGAAGTTTAAAATTCATAAAGAAACTTTTTTTTATGATTTATTTTTTTATTATTATTTTTTTACATCGAAAATAGAATTGAAAGTTTTATCGCTAGGTAGCGTTGCAAACCCAATACCATAATTGGAAATTATATGCTCAACAACTTTGTCCAAGACCGGAAGCCGATCCGAGTTGAAAAGTTATTAGCATTTTATTGAAGCAACTGACTGATTAAAAAAATAGAAAATGAAAACGAAAGAATAAATATAAAAATCAGTTAGACATCGCTTCAATATAATCGAAGACAACATATCAAGAAGACTGGCAACTTTACCTGACTTCGAGTGACAGACACAGTAGCGTTGTGCTTGAGTGAAGGTGGAAGCAACGCATAGAAAAATGAGCAAATGAACAAACCTTTCTTCTGAGGATGGAACCTTTGGTATCCAATTTATTCGGAACATTTACCTTTAAACGGCAAATGACGCGATTGTGCCTGTCTCATGCCGGTCTTTTGAGAAAATGGAAGAGTTGCCAGTCTTCTTGATATGTTGTTTTCGATATAATGCTAATAACTTTTCAGGATCATCTCGGAACTGCTTCCGGCCTTCATAATTTCAAAACAGATTTTTTTTTTTATATATATCTTTAGCTATAATGAGTATGTTCAGGCCTGATTGCAAGGAGAAATTGCGATATTTATGCAGATTAGCTAAAATAAACTGTGCTGCGACTTTCAATTTCTTAATTAAGTGCCTATTAACGGCAGATGATTGGCCTTCATCTTTTATTTACTTTTCACTACACCGTAACTTCTCATACGTGAATATCTTCATTCATTTTGAAGATATATCTAAATTTTGAAACATTTGAAATTATGTGAACAGGTGTTTCTGCTCTTTAGAATAATACTGAAGACTTTCAGAAACATCAAGATAAGTTCATTGAAATCATATTGAAAATCTATGCAAATTAATTAAGTTCTATAAAACTTATTCGAAGTTTTCTGTGCGTCTACAAATTTCTTTATTTCAATTCCATGAACTCAAATAAAGCTCCCTGAACTTCTTATCAATCAATTTAATTTATCCCTGAGTCACTATGAAGTTCTCTAAATTTATGGAAAGTTCTGCTAATTTCTCGAAAGTTGCTTCTACTTCTACGAAATTTTCTGAACTTATACGATTTGTTTATAGCTTACACAAACTACAACTACATTTCAACCAAGATTGCTGAACTTGTCTATATTTCCTATGTTTTATTCACTGTTCCTGGAAATTTGACCAAGATCTCAGAACATCATGCAAAATTTCTGCAATATTCACGGTAGAATGGTATATACCTGCAATAATTTAACATTCGTTCCAAAGGACATGCATCCTCCTAATTGCGCGCAAATTCGACCAATTGAAAAATGTTGGGCAATGACCAAGGCATTTCTCAGGAAACATGTATCCGAAGCAAAAACCATTCAACAGTTTGAAGAACAGTTTGCAAGAAGGTGTGCCAGTTAGCATAAAGTCGATAGATAGCTAATATTGAGAATCCTGATCTGTTGTGCTAATCTAATCTTAACAGTATATGTTATAAAAATAAAATTTCCAACACTTGTGCATTATTTTCATTGAAAATTGGTTCCGTCCATACTTTCTTGAGCAGTCTTTACTCTATGACATCACAGCTTGCAATATCAACCGCAGTTGTGTCCTTGTTGATTTTTGTCTACGAAAATCAAGCGTGATCTTGGGCTTTGGTGAGATTTGATTTTTTTTAATATTTTTTCAACACTGGTTCAGACCGTGGTTCAGACCGACATCATGTAATATAGGCTATCTTGATATCAACCATCATACTTATTTTTTTCCCGGTGCAAATTTTCCGTATGAGTGCTCATTGCAGAACAGCCTACACTAATAACAATTCATTTTTTTGCAATGTGATAAACAAATGATATATAGGTATGTATCGGACACATACACCTTTGTTCAATATAATAGCAGCGCATGCCGATTTCCATACAAAATGGTCAACTGGTTGTAACTTTGTTCTCTTAAGATCAATTGAGCTGAAACGTTCGCCACAGAACTACAAATATGTTCAATTTTACGATTACAAAATACCAAATTTTTGGAAGCATCTGCTTGAAAGTGAGACACTAGGTAAAATTATTCAAAATAATAGCAGTATTTCTAATTTAACAATCCCTACCCAATTAACAAATGTACATAATAGTTAAAAATGCACAATTTGCAGTACATAAAAATACAAATAAAAAACTGCTATTATTTTGAAAAAAATTACCTAGTGTCGCACTTTCCAACAGGTGCTTGCAAAAAATTGGTATTTTGTAATCATAAAATTGAATATATTTGTAGTTCTGTGGCGAAAGTTTCAGCTCAATTGATCATAAGTTAACAAAGTTACGTCATGTCAAAGTTGACCATTTTGTATGGAAATCGGCATGCGCTGTTAGGGAACATGCATAAATGACGTAGCATTTGAGGGGGGAGCTGGGGGTTTCAGAATTTGTGACCGGCCATGTATTGGATATAGCCAAATACGCTACGAGGGGGGGAGGAGGGGTCTAAAATTGATCAAAAATATGCTACGTCATTTATGGATGCTCCCTTATTATATTGAACACAACTGTAGAACTTATGTAACCACACATACTATTAATTTGACTCATAAATTTCATTTGTACTTCTGAGTGGATTCTGTTTATGTGTGGACACATGAAAATCATGTGGAATTTTATATATATCAGCTATATGATCACGTACAAACAGACAAAACACATTGAATATTTCTCACTGTAAAACATCGTCGTGTTCGATGAGCAACTTACGAGTGTCATGTCTGTTTGTCTGTGGTCTGATTGAACTATTCACTCATAAAATAAATCACATAACCAGTGGAAAATATCCGTGTGAATTTCACATAACTTTCTTGTGATCCCATAATTGGAAATTGCACCACTAAAACACATGCACGCGTTATGTGTCAAATGAAATCTATATGATTTCTCATATAGAATTTCTAATGCTATGTGATATTCAGGTAAAAATCATTGTTTTTGTTTTTGGAAAAATACTATGTACGTTCCTATTAGAAACTAAGTGAAAACTTTTTTCAGTGTTCTTTTCCACAGATTTTTTTTTCTCCGTTTTACGGATTAATTCCAAGAAGAAGTTCCACCGCAGCTGTTAAATGAACAAGGCTTCAAAGAATCGCCAGCAAATATACTTCAAATTTGTCAATGCACACTATGTTTTGTTCAGTATTCAGCTCATTTTCATACTGGCGGTAGAACTTTGACAGATGCGGTTGGTCTATTCGGTAGTCAGCGGATGAAATTGTATCTTAAGATCCGTGCTGAATAAAGACTATTGTAGGATCTTTGTAATCTGCACAAATCGAAGTAGCTTTGATTTATTGTAATAAAATAAATGACGTGAATCAAATAAATCATTACCATTTACAACACCGAAAACTGGTGACCAGTTTACTACTCTACAATTATTCGATGCAAAATAGCTCATCTAACACACGTAGGAGATTAAGTTATTTTTTATACGCACCTTTAAACTTTTTTCAAAGTAGGAAAAAAGCAGCCCCAACAAACAGCAAATCCAGAATATGCTATTTACGGTCCTTCGAAACAACATGATTCTATTTAATCGCGTAATCAGTTTTTGAACTACATGTAAGGATACATTCATTACATACCGTGATTGGATGAACAAATAAAAAAACATAAATAAAAATACCTGGATATTGCCAATGGCTGCGTTTTGCAGACAAGTAAAATCCGAGGGAAGTATAATCAAAGTTCGCTTCTTCTCATGTCGGTCTCCATTTTTTCAACAGTTACACCTTTCTATTCACTACTCGTCATCATTGTGTAATAGTTATATAGCCAGGAAAAAATAATGTTCTTGTTCCTGAAATTGGAACGAAGACCAATTATTTTTCTACCTTGGCAATCAAAGTGCAAAACTTTGTTTCAGACCAAATGAAGCCATCAAAACAATGTAGATTTTTCCCTGTATGGTGGTTTTTAGTTTTGTTTTGATCACTGCTGTCAAATTCACTGCGGCTTTGAGAAAGTGACACGAGTAACACTCGCCTTAATGTTAAACCCCTTATCCGGATGGATGTGTTAATGTCAAGCTGATGTGGACATTGATTAACCGGTCATTGGGACATTGATAGATAATCGACGATGACGTATAATAATTAAGTCTATTTATAAAATTAACATCATTTCAAATAGATGTAGAAGCCGACAGCAACTAAAAGAACTACTTAATAGGTCTTTTCACGTACTTGCGTTTCTGTTAGATTCTATACAGAAAAAAAACAAAAGTATGTTCTGCACCATATTGTTTTCATACAGTAATTTACAGCAAAAGCAAAAAGCAAGCACGGGAACAGACGTAATCGTAAGAAGCAAAGACATTTTTGGAAACAATTTTAATGTATTCCGGCACGACCGAAATCTGCATCTTTGTAAGAAAAAGTCTGAATGTGGAGTTCTCATAGCCATCAATGCAGACTTTATTTCCAAAGAAATACAAACTAATAAGCACAAAGAATTTGAACATGTTTTGGCTTGGCCAAAGCACTTATTGCTGGTGAAATACACATTTTTACTTCTATGTATTTCTCACCTGAACATGCGAACAATCATTCTATTGAATTATTTAGAAGTAAAACTGCATTATTATGGCGATTTCAACCAACGCAATGCAGACTTTATCACAGACATTAAAAACAAATCATTTTTACTTCCAATCGTAGATGAAGACGAAACATTACAATTTCTCTTTGACAAAATCTCATATTTAGGTTTGATGTAGATCTAGATTAATCGCGTAAAAAATCAGCAAAATGCATATTTAGACCTTTTGTTTACAAATTGTTCTGAATACTTCTGTGTGTATCCATCATTAACACCTTTATGGAAAATGAAGTGTTTCTTTCAGCAATTTTATATTCAATCTTCATTCATAATACTTCTTCCCCCAGCGACTGGGAGTACGAGGAAGTGCCGGAATATCATAAAGCAAATTACGAAGAAGCCAAACGTAGATTATGCACAATAAATTGGCAGAATATAATAAGTATTGAAGGAAATTTCGACACTGAAGTTAGCAGAAACCGTACCAATAAAAAGAAGAAGGCGAACTCAAACAACAAACCAGTGTGGTTCCATTCACAACTAAAACATTTGAAGAACAAAAAGCAGAAAGCACACCAATTGTACAAAAAGGAAAGCACACACTTACAACAGCATGAGCATGAACATGAGCATGATTGACCGCCCATGGTTGCTACTCTGTTATTGCCAGACCAGCTGCACGCAGAAAAAAATATTTTAAACGCAATAATATTTGTCGTAAAATTAATAAGAATTTCATTTTGTTTTGGCTGCAAAAAGAAATCATTATTTCATTATATACAATCCAGCATCTTTTTTTCTAAAAACCCATGGATTGTTAAATCAAAAAGAAAATCTTTTCGAATTTACAAGAGCTTTCATGGTTTTGACGTAAGCTGTCAAATTTGGCAGCTGGGTCAAAAAAAAATGTTTGTTTTTAAAAGATATTTCTTGTTGATTCAATCATATTTATTTTATTAGGCCTGAAAGTATACGCAGTAGAAATAAAAATATTTTTATTGATTCAATATTTTTTTGTTTTCTTTCAGTAACAAACAGAATTCCAATTGAATTTAAAACACCTTTCTGAGGCATAAAATCTTTCCGGTTCATGAGTTGATGGGTCGATAGGTAGGTTACAACATTTTATCGAAACAACATTACATTTCACATAGGATTTAATATGGCACCTACAACTTGGCCACTTTATGAGAACAATTTTAATAATTTTGGAAATTGAATAGGCTTTTTATATGATCAGTTTATATTTCAATTATATTGTTAAGATCGGTTGATATTTTTTAATCTTTTTCTATCTTGATTGATGATTTTTCTTGTGGATTAAGCAAGAGGCTAGGGAAAATGGCTTTAAAAAGGTTTTTATTGTTGCCAAATAGCTTTTATTGTAGCTTAAATAAGGGTTTCAAATGGTTCTCAATACGTTCGTCATACAACCTTTTGGCAGTAATTCAATCTCGAAGAGCTAGGAAAATATACCCTTCAGAACCTTCTCCAGGATGGGCCAACTAGACAGATTCTAATCTAAATGAGGTTTTGGTCGCTTCATCAATGGCAAAGTAGCCTTGACCAGGGTTTTATGAATGTTGTTTTATAGTAGCTTTGTGTTACTTTATAAAACTTAAAATGTTACTTGCTGGTTCTTCATGTCCGCTATCTGTCACTGTTTGCAAAAATATCTAATAGCAATTACCTTTGTTGTAATACTTCCTGCATTGCCATGGTCATCTAAGAGGAGGGTCGCATCAAGTGCTTTCCCCAGGAACCGTTCACGGCTACCAGCTACCGCCCGTCCAGTCTTGGGCGTATCCAGCGAGGCATCCTTCAGCTTACTCACAATCTCTGACACTCAATGCAAATCGCAGGCACACTTACGCTAGTTACTAAAAAAACACACCCGTGCAAAGAAACGGATCCAATAAACGTCACTCTCGCGAAAGCACACCCGTCGTCGTCGAACGGCAAAAAAAGGAATCGGTGGGCAATTTTGTGATACGGAATTCTACAATCAACCAGGAATGCATTAATTTCACCACACCCAACTGCGAAACACGTTAAAATTACGGCCAAATTATTTTTATTTTGTGAGTAAATGACATTTCCAACATACTTAAAAAAAGAACTTTATACATAGCGACGCAGAAGAATTCCAGAATGAAATCAACTTAATTTATACTTGGTGGTAAAAGTCTATTCCAACTCAACATAAACAATGTAACGCAATAGTATTAAGCAGAAAGATAGAAACATCTCTTTTTTTAAATATTTTTAGACAACCAAGTAAAGTAGAAAAATGTTAAACTGCAAGGGACCTAGGTGTAATCCTAGACTCCAAACTCACTATTGTAGAACACTATAATACCATCCTAACGAAAGCAAAAAGTATTTTAGGCTTCAGCTATAACTTTCAAGACCCATACACTATTAAATTGTTATACATTACATACGAAAGACCTATTCTGGATTACTGTATGGAAGCCGTACATTCCCATACACGCGGAACGTAAAAATATCTTTTTGTTACCTGAGATCTCAGCAAAATCTTATTTGTTAGCTGAGTCTCGACATTTGTTTGGCTGAATGTCAGCAAGATCAATTGCAGAGATACTCGGCTGTTGGAATCTCGGCGAAAAAAAATATGTGTGTAGAATCCATCCAAAAACCATTCCTTTCATATGCCCTTCGACAATTTAATTGGACCGCATTTTTTCATCCACGCTGAATCCACAAACACTCAAAGAACGCCGCGAAATTGCAATGCTTTTCTTCATCAATGACATTATTTCACATCGCATAGAATGATCAGAATTACTCTCACAATTAAACTTTTACACACCCTGTCGGCATCTTAATTATTCTGCCTTTAGTTCGTGCTTGCGAGAATAAATAGGGTAGGGAATTACTTCAGCCTAAGCGCCCTTTTTCACTCCACCACCCCCAGAGCTTGTCCGATCCAGCCTCACGAGCCGGAATCCGGAATAAATACGTTCATCTCCGGTTTCAGATGAGTATCGTTCAGGTGGGAATAATTTTGCTCTTGAGCAAGCAAGCGTTCCAGTTTGCGATTTTGAAGAGCTCACGGTTCATAACTGAGCATAAAGGTAGCCACAGCTTGGAGCTGTTCGGATTTGTTATTGATGGTGTTGGCAATGTAATGCATCTTGAGGAAGATGATCATTAGTTCCGCTGCGGTGAACCAAGAACCATCGTTGATTTCGGGCTGCGGTAAAAACGGTCCCTCCTGACGCCAGTTTAGCCCAGGGGCTGTGGGGAGATTCTGTGGCTGTGGAGCAGCAGTTGTCTGTTGACCTGAGTTTGCAGGGGCTCCGGCAGTTAGAGCTTGAGCAGCAGTAGCAGCGGTACGAGCAGCAGCCAATCGTTGATTGAGTGGCAGCGGTGGCAAATCGGTCGTTGTGGAACCGGTGGGAAGTTATGATCATTCATTTCCGGCACCTTCTTTTGGCCGGGCTGGTTTCTCGTCGATGCTTTCTTCCGGATCTCGATGTACTCGGTGCGCTTCGGGCCTTGCTTATAGCTTTGTGAGCAGCACCACAGTTGGCGCAAATGGGATCGGCCTCATTGAGTCTGTCGCAGGTGTCGGTTTTGTGTTGTTTGCCACACTTGATGCAGCGTCTGACCATAGAACAATTCTTCGTTCCATGCCCAAACAGCAGGCAGTTCGAGCATTGGGTGACTCCACGACTGACCGGCTTGTACCGATCCCACTTCACCACTATGTTGAACAGGACGCAGATGCTCTGGAGGTCCATCAAAGTTGTTGAGTTCTTCTCAAGGTGAACCAGGTATAGCTGGTCGCGGTACTTGACGGCCTTTTTGTGGCGGGCCATCTTGTGAATTTGGACCGGCTTCAGTCCATTAGCCACCAGCTCTTCCAAGAGGACGCCTGTGTCCATATCGTAGGTGTAGTAGATAGAGTTAGTGTTGAATAAATAATGAGTAGAATCGAGTGAGCGTGAAGCGTGATAGTCCGTATGTAAACGGAATCTCATTGGTTAGAGAATTTTGATAGGTTAGCAGGTATAAATATGAAGTACCTAAGCTCGTTGAAGTCATTCTTGTAACGAATTTTGGAGGTGACGGATAACCAGTAGCAGCAGAAACAGCAGCAACAGAAACAGTAGCAGCAGAAACAGCAGCAGCAGAAACAGCAGCAGCAGCAATAGAAGCAGCCGCACCCGTGGGAGCTGCATCGCTAATTCGTGTAGCCGTTGCCGAGGCTGGAAACCTCGTTCCGGTCACGACAGTATAGTCCTCGCAGGAACATCTTGATCGGCTTAACAGCCTCGATGTCGTGAGAGAAGCACTCCACATGTGCTTGGTCCAGTATGGTCTGTACCGCCTTGTAATATTTCAACGCCGGAACCATCAGTTTGTATCCTTCCGTGCTCAGCTGGATGGTGCACCGGATACCCTACGTGATGTAGAAATTTATTTTTCCCGCAGTCCGGGAGGGAAGCCCTTCTCGTAGGAGGGCGGCAATCTATTTTTCTTCGGCGGTCCTGTTTTTTTTTGTTCGTCACCGGTTCTGCACCGTCCTACAGAACGGAGAACCGATAGTTGTCCTAGATCGTTTCCCAGGATTGCCAGCCGCGATTTTTTTAGTCATGGCTGGTCAGCGAGAACGCGAAAAAAACGGAGAAACGCAATCGAACGAACGAAGAGAGCGAGAGAAAAACCGTCGACTGTACTGCTCAACAGTCTGGCAGCGAATCTCCAATACGAACCTGTGATAAGTGGCGTCACTATATAGTGCCAGTTGTTCATCGTAAAGTGGAGAGGTCTAATATCAAGGCTACACTTTTGCCTAGGGCCAACAGCCGGGTAATTTGCTCGGTAGAGAAAAAATTTTACGTCCCCAAGGTAACTCAAATAAACACAAATTACGTCCCCAAGGTAACTGAAATAAACACGTTCACCGGTTGATAATACCATAGAGGTAACTCTAAGACTAGAAGGTCCCGAAATAACGTGCTCAACTTTTTGGCTCAGCTCTGGTACTCTCTTCGGTCCCAAGCTAATCGATTCACCCCTCGAAACATAAGAAAAACCAATAACCCCTCATTTTATCTGTCAAACTTTCATAGCGAATCAAAACAAACATTACGTAGTACTAGAATTTCGACTAGAATGGGGTACGTTAATCGTTTGCTTGGGACCAATAGGCTAGTCAAGTAGTGAGCCACTTTTAAATCGTTAGTTTCGTATTGATTGTTGATAATACTGCTTCTTGATTCCAAATTCGTCCTACGAGTTTCAATTCTGTTGAAACCAGAGCGTAAAATTATTAACTGCTTAAGCACTGCACTATTCAATCCATTGATTGCTCTGTCCAGACCGTTTGTACCAAACGGTACAGGACGAGGCAATGATAGAGCCAACAAAACCATTCAGTCACTCACGAACAGGCGACTCACACCGCTTGCCTTCGCTCACACAGCATGTAATTGAGGCATTAAGGCGCTAAGGCTCTGAACCATTTGGTGGATTATTTTAACTTTTGGTTAAAATTTGACAGATGGAAAGTTATCGATTGACCCTGCTATCCGAGCTTGGTTACTTCTGACAGACAAGAAGTTAAATTTTGACAACTTTGGCTGAGTTCTTCTCGAAAACCGGTCGATCGACAGCACAGGGATTTTCGAACATAGAAAATAACTTTCGAAATGTCACTTTTAACCACGAGTTAAATTTAACTCGGCAAATGGTTCACAGCCTAAGTCATTCAAAACAAGCATTGGTTACCATCACGGAAGAATAAACGTACTGACTGAGTGCTCGGCTGTCAGTGACTCGTTTACCCCTCAATCATTCAGACTCTCACAAGGCAGTGAATGATGAGGCAGATGGCAGTTCATATTCATATGAAAATGACTCATTGAACCTGACTGTTTTCAAATATATCATATTAACAATATGATCCATTCATGCCTTTTCCAAATATTGCAATGGCGACCCGCAAAATATTGCTTCACGCACCATCTAGCGTTAAAAAGGTCAGCAACAATCATTTAATTACAATCGAGGGGTGCGAATATAGCACTTATTACACAAGTAAGAGTCAAATTATTTTCATTAATTACATTGTGTTTATTACTTTAAAATTTGTCTGACATGTCACTGTTGTCATCAAATAAAATAATATGCTGAAATACATTCATTTGAAATATTAATCAAATTTTCATTTGGTTTACTCTCTCGTGACGATAAACAAATACATTGGTAGCCTTTTTGGCCACAGAGGTGCTTCCATCGCTAAAAATTTGGTTCGCCAGCTAAGCAAAAGAGTGGATCATATTGTTAATATCATATATTTGCTGTTTTGCTCACTGGTCCAAACGCATTGAAATGCCATTGGATTTTCTTCGTCCTACTGATGATGGCAGAAAAAGTGGGTTCGCTAGGCGCGTCTTCTCTTGTTTTGAGAACAATGAGAATAAATATTCATACAATGCGCTCTGATAGGCTTTGTGTTGTAGCTGATGAACTACTAACGCTTCGGTACAAACGTATTAATGATTTGTGAACATTGAAATCATTGAAATTACTGATGTTATCTGCTCAATAGAACGGAAATGGACGATTACGACGAAGCAGCGCTCTACCCTACGTGTAATCTTCAAGTGTTTTCACGTGAGAAATGCTTTAAATATATATTTTCATTTTCCATCATATAGGGGAAATGGATGTAATGTCGGCCTAAATGCCCCTTATTTGGGCCCATACATAAATTCAATATTCGACTAAATTTTTAATAGCGGCCAAAAATATTAATTAGTACCGTCCCAATGACGCGTTCATCTAGATAAAATTGATAAATAGTAGATAGGCCCAATCTTAGATCCATAAGCCAACATTAGAGTCATTTCCCCTACGTAGTAAAGCATTCATCTTTGATAACACCTCTGTTGATGTGTTTCATGAAAGACGAAACTATCAAAGCGCTCTCTCGCTCGTCCTTTGAAACCTGAACGAAAAACCGTTGAAGCTTGAAAGAAAGACCAATGGAGTGACGGCAGAAAGAGAGGCAAGCGATTCAACATTTGGGTGTGGACCCCGCTTGAGGTTCTAGATTGCTGCGAAGTTGTTCGATTTTAATAGAAAAAGAAAGCCAGCAGTCTCTTCGTCGCATCGATTTGGTCGATTGAAGCTGATATTGAAGCTGATAGACGCCATGAAGTGCAGTGCACGTAAATAGTAATTTCAGATTTTTTATTCCATGTTTAATTTTCTTATGAAACCAGTATCTAATGCTATCTTTAGCATCATTAGTTGCGGAAATATATAAAAGAAAGTAGTCTGCCACTATTCGCATAACAGTCTCCTGTAGATAGAAATTTCACAGAACGCGAAACTGTTTGCGAATAGTGGCAGAGCAGTAGGGCTTTCTAAAAAATTACGGAAAATAGACATGCTTCATTGGACCAAGGGGTGCACCGATCGGCAGAAACATTTTAATTTTTAAAAGTTGGTCTGAAATAAGTGTTTTTTCCAAATTTGGTCCAAATCGGAAGACGTCACTTTCACTTGCCTCTGAAATTTGGTGCGGGATGACCCATTGGTATCCAGTTTTAAACTTTTACTTGATGAACTGATTAGGGTAAGGTGGGGCAAGATGGATCATTTTAGATAGAGCTGGAATTAGGGCGTAACAGCTTTTGTAAACAATGACTTCTCTCGATGATCTCTAGAAAGCCAAGGCTCGTCCACTCAAATCAACGTCACCATCTGGTAGGGGAAGACTTCCACTTCCCGTTGGTTATGTTGGTTTCGTGGGCGTGCCTTGAGTTTCGAGAAATCATCGATAGAAGACATTGTTTACAAAAGCTGTTACGCCCTAATTCCAGCTCTATCAAGATTTGTTTATAAAAATCAACAGTTTCATTGCAACCCAAATGACGGTTTGCTTTTTCTAACCAGCATTGTTCATGTTGACAATAAAAAAATAAATGAATCTAATAGATGACCCATATTTGCCGTGACCCATCTTACCCCAAATTACCCTACATTAAATAAGTGCTGTACGTTTAGGTATGAATTCGGTATGTTACAGAAATAATAGAAACTCTTCTTTTGCCGTACTTTATTACGTATTTTTTAACTCCGAATAAATAAAACCATCATTATATCGAATATGCTAGTTGATCAAAGTCTTCCGCAAAGAATCACTTGAATGCCGGTCATAAGTAATAAGTTATTTAAAAAATATATAAAACACTTACGTGATAAACGTAAAAATAGTATTTTGGTACTCTCTTGTCACAAACTAGATCGGTTACAGTTTACAGCTTTGTTAATTCAGAATACTCACGCTATTTAGTATGGAAATGCATTTTAAACATTGGTCGGTGCGTCCATTGCACAGATGATCGTTTTCATTACGGCTGCTGCGGCAAGTGAAGCATAGCTTTGCCATTTTTTCGATGTTGTACCATCTTTATAATCGGAGACGCCTTTAACTAGGATGAAACTGTCCCTGCAGTTCCCGACGATACTATCAAGTACCGAATTCATTTCTACGTCAGTTGCCACTAGACCATACTCCTGGGAGTACTGGGTCCTAAGGCTATCGGACTTGATGAGATCGTATCCCGACCCAATCGGGCCGATATGAATTCTTGACTGAGGTATACCATCAACATCGTCTTGGTCAACGGGATGTGCTACCTCAATTACATCTTTATTGCCGATGTTCATGTATAGCTTGTCCGTATTCGGCGATGGGCGGGAAAAATCACTGCTGCTCTTATTACTGAGATTGATCAAACCCTCTTTGATGTATACTTCCCAAGGTCTCTTGCCATCGTCATTTACCTGAAGCGTTTTTCCAATAGTCTGTAGACAATCATCAACTGGGTAGTAAGTTTTCACGTCGCCTTGATTGTTGTAGACGTAACAGTAAGGTTTGGTACTGGTTTGTCCAAGAGCATCTAGCGAGCTCTTATTTTGGTCTGAAACGGATGCAATTACCACGTCACCCAAACGGACGTGCTTTTTGTAATCGGTGTAATGTGGGATACCACCGGCCAGTCCTACGATGAAGACGAAATCCACCTTTTGGAATGTTCCGAGAAGGCGAGTTGTCGTATTTCCGGCGGCTGTCATGGCTTCTCGCGTGCTACCCACCGATGGAAGCTTGGTGCTCACGATACGGTGTGCACCAATGTTGCCGAGGGTGTACACGTTTGATTCACCTGTAAATATGTCAAACAAAGGGTTAGCATTGAGTACAACACAAGTAAGCGAATAATGCAATGAATGCAACAAGACTGATGTGAATGTTCCGTCACCAATACCCTAAGCCATCACCATACACCATTAAAACAATAAATTCGGAAATGTATAGGAATGATCACAAAAGATGATAGGCACCATAGGTTCCACATGGTCAGATAGAACTGTTTTGAATTTAGTTCTAATTGCAAATTAGGTTTCGGAAATATGGCCATAAAAACGATTTTTAGGAAGACCGCATTAATCAATGCCCCAAAATCCAAATGTTTGAATTATATGGTGAAATTTGTGCTGTTGTGTGCTAGCGGAACATTGTGTGTATCAGCGAAGAACACACATGGACTACTCTAATAGTACGCGAGGGGGGCAACTCTATCTACTATGCAGGAAAACTTGTTTGTTTGCTGTGGCTAGCTGCGCACACGCTGAGTAGATTGAAAGAAGATTGATGATGATTTTGAAGATTTCCTGCAAAATTATGATGCGCGATGCAAGTAGATGCAAGAAGATGCGAGAAATGCAAGACGATTTTCCGAAGATTGATTCGCTACTGTGAGGTCGCCCCCCTCGATAGTACGTTCAGAATACAGAGTTAAAACATGTTAGCGCTATCTTGATGGTGGTTTCTGTGTTGCAATTATTTGACAACCGTTATAACTGCTTATCGTACGTTCAGACTACAGAGTTATAACATGTTATAGCGCTATCTTGATGGTGGTTTCTGTGTTGCAATTATTTGACAACCGTTATAACATGTTATAACTCTCCAGTCTGGGCATGATTGGATTTGACTTTCTTAATGGAAGTTCGAAACCTGACATGGCCGAAATTGCCAATTTTTTGAAGACAGGTGTTTAAAGCTGAATAACAGAGTGTAGAAAAAGGTGAAAATTTCCACACGCGCCAAAGGTTAACAACATATTTTTTCTGATGCCGTGCCTGAATATGATTCTGCTTCAGAAGTCACTCAGAACTTGTTGCACGATTTTTTAGAAAAATTCTCAAAAATTTCTTTTAGAATAAGTTCCCTTCAGAGAGTTCTTTTCATAATTTTTCTTAAATAAATTTAAGATTCTCTCTAAGAATACCTCGAAAATTTCTACACACTTATAAAAAATCACCGACTTTGGTAATTCGTTTACCAAATTCTCAACTGCTGAACGGTCGGTAATGTTTTTTTCTCCTTGATTTGTTTTCCGTGCTGAGCACCAATGCTACCGACACCAGGGAGGCAACTAACTCCCACACCTGGAGCCTACCTATCGACCCATCAACTCATGAACCGGGGACCAACGGCTTCCCATGATCAGAGATGTTATGAATCAGAACATCACGGCGGCGCCGACTGGGATTGAACCTGCTGGGGTGAGAGGTAATCACGATTACCACTACACCACCGGCGCCGCTGATGGTCGGTAATCGAGAACATTACCGAAAAATCGGCAAACTGGATCAGCAAAATAAGCTGTCAAATTTACTGAACGATCGGTAACGTCTACCGATGTGCATTGCTTGCATAGTCGACTTTAACGGAGAACTGTAATTTTGGGGACGATATGCAAATCGAAAATTACCGACAGATCTGCAATTTTTGAAAAAGGTAACTGTAATTTACTTTAATATTGTTTCAAGGTGGCGGTCACTGCAACCCATGCAAAAATGTGGCTGCAGTCGTGATCAATGTGTTGCAAATTGCTACACCAAAACAAGAATACACTTATGTATCCTCTCACACACTAAGATTATTTCACCGAAATCTGTGAAATTTTACCGAAATCTGTATTGTCTGTAATTTTTCACCGAATATCTGTGAAAAATTACAGGAAATCTGTGAAAAATCACCGAACTGTTTACCGAACGTTGAGCTGTTGAGATTTCGGTAAAAATTCACAGATTTCGGTAAAATAATTTAAGTGTGCATAATTCTATCTAAAATTCACCTGACTTCACCTTAAAATTGTTCTAAAATTACGCTTATAATTATTTTGGAGTTCTCCTCAAAATTCTTCTTGACATTTCATTGGAAATCTCCATAATATTCTCTTAAAATTCATGCCCTTGTAAATATGCTCGGAATTCCTCCTTTCTTTAGAATTCAACCCGAACAATGCATAATGTTTTAATAACCTTTCTTTTAGTATATTTATTAGAAATTGACCAGGAAGCTTCACAATTTTGAATTATTTACAGAACGACCCTAAAAGTTTACATTGAACTCACACAATCAACTTTGAGTTCTAGTTCAACGCTCCCTTGTAGTTTTTCTCTAAATACCTTGTTGTTATTTCTCGAGTTCATTCTAAAATCTTCTCAAAATTCTTTTAATAGTTTTTCAAAGTGACTGAAAATCTAGTCCAGTCCAACGCTCTAAACCTTTTCTCAAGCACCAGAATCATATTTTTCCGAAAAGAATTTGTCATCGAAATTCACGGGATTTTCCCGGTGATTTCGAATTCCCGGCTTTTTTCAGGTTTTCCCGATACCCCGGTTTAATGGTAACCCACGCTAACGGAGGAGGAGTTGGATATGCTTGAAGAGGAAGTAGTGGAAATGGATGTGACGACTCTGGAGGCCAAAGTGTGAAGAGTAAGCCAGCGATGCTCAGAAACAACAGCTACCAATTATCGAGGTTCCACAGTACTTCTACGACACGAAATGAACGGAACAAACAACTAAACAACGGTTGAATTAATGGAAGAAGTTACGAGAACAACAGTACGTACGTAAAGTATTTTGTATTGATTGTAGAAAGTTTTTAAAGACTTCTGCTCTGTAAAGTTTTTATAAGACAGTTTAACCTTATCAAATAAACGAATTAAAAAACGGGGCAATTGTTGTCGAAAACGACCAGATTGGAACAAAACGAAGAGCCGTGCACCGGGCAAAGTGGTACGACCAGGTGATAGCGGACGTGCAGAGCCTCCGCAGAAAGTGTGGCGGGTGACATGCTGTGATGGATCGAGAGGAATTTTGATATTAAAATCAAACTGAAATCATGATTTGATTTTAATTTATGCGATTGACAAATTTGGTAACATTTTTTTTATTTTGCTGTTCATTTGCTCTTGTATAAAATTATGTTGGAAAAGAAAATCAAATTGAATACTCGTTTTGTTATTAACAGGAAAATTGTACATCAAATTGAGTTTTCATTTTACTGAATTAGTTTTCAATGCGATGTCACAGGAAGACTTTTTTGTTCTCAATTTTGATATTTTAACCGTTACAACGAACGAAATGACAACAACCTGAGTAATATTTGTTAAGGATCGATAGGATGATAAACATCGACGTCTACAATTAAACAATCTGCTATTAGTAATTGGGAATTAATCCGAGAATAATACCGGTTAGAGCTTACCACTTTATAAAAGAAGCAAACAGGTGCCTAAGGTCGAGCTTAAGATATAAATCTTCGACGCTCAGGATATTTGAGTGACTGATTGTCACATTTCTTCATGACCACTTATGCTTATTCCTTTCGGGGTGTAGAAATGTTCTAACGGAGTATTCAGAAATCAAGAAGGTATTTTTTACGACTTGCTACATTTTTCGGAAATGTTACGGTGCACAATGTGAACAATGCATAATAGATGAAAAACACACAAGTGAGAACACACACACATTGATCTGAACGCGGTTGTTCGTGAATCGTCAGCAGAAGCGAAGAGAACTGCAGAAGTTTTCTCAATGATCTTACCAAAACGTCGCCTACTTCTCCTAGTTCTCTGCAGGCCATTGATTGGAGACACGGGAGATGTTCCTGTCATTATTAATTGGTTAGTTCTATTGGGTGCATATTTTTTCCCATAGAAGGAGCAGCATGATTACGGATGATGTAACATGATCTACTACTGTTCCATGCGATTACTTCATGCTACCTTTTAAAATGATGTTGAAATCCAATAACAAAAAAGTTTCTTACCGACGGTAGTGTAGCGAACGAAGGTTTCCTTATTCTCCAGCATGGCATCTACAGCAAGTTTCTCACAATACTGCGCTGTAATTATGGCAATCGTTGGCTGTTTATTGGATGCGATAGTTGGCATCTGTTTGACGATTTTTATCTCTTTATCGTCGTGGTGAATACGGGTGAATGAATTGAACTCCATCGACTTGATCAGGCCACGCTCCTTCAGCAGAAGCATTATTTGCAGTACTTCCTCTTCATCCCAACCGTTATCCCTGAAAATGTATTAGGATAAAATTACCCTACGAATCTTGAACAGTCGATGAATCAAACCTACTTGGCTAAATCTTCCGGGGTGATGGGATTCGGATAGGCTTGCTCGATCAACTCCAATATCTTTTCGGGTGTTAATGGAATTACCTCAAACTGAGAGTCCTCGAAGGATACTGAAAATGAATTAAATTGTTTCATTAGCATATCTTTGAAATAAAAGTGATTTTTTTAGTATGCTTAAACCCAAACACATGGTAATAAAATAATGTTACGGCATAGATGTTAGGATGAGATTACAAAGACGTCACACTGAGTACGACAAGTTTATTTTTCTCATTGTCGGATAAGTTTCGCAGTTTTTTATTCGAATAACCTTATAAAATTATTTCCATAATGTAATTAATTTAATTTTTCTTTTCAAAATATCCTTTAGAATTCTCTTGAACAATTTCTATGGAATTCTCCTCATAGTTCTTCTGAAATTATGTTCAGAATTTCCTCGGAATTCTTGAAGACTACTTTCCTAGGAGTTTTCTTCAGAATACGCTCTTTGGAATTCTCCCATTTCGCATCGAAATTATCTTCAAAAAATTTCCTCATCCAAGTCCAAGAATCCGCATTTTTTTTCAGGGCTTCAAATCTTGCTTTCTATTTCAATTAGGTATATAAGATTGGGAAAATTGGTCAAAGTCCAGAAACTTTGACAGACTGTAGTGTTTACATGCTGCGCTATTTGTATCGAGTGATTTTCATTATGAAAATTTCAGGAATACCCTTTTTGGCATAAAGTTGTTTGGCATAATCTTAATAGATATAAAATCATTTGGAATAAGTTTTTTTTTTACTAAATACTCATTTAGTATGAAGGGTTTTTTGCCAAAACGATAATTTGGCATAACAATATAAAGGCGATTCGACATAATGGTAAATGGTATAATAAAACTCATGCTCACACTTGTATAGTTGTTGTATAGTGCCTATAATTATTATACCAATTAAGCTCATGTACATAGTTTGTCATACAAGTGTAACCGCTGCATTAATGAGTATAAAAAATTTGTACAAGACCATAAGAATTTGTTTTAAGGGACATCCTATGTTCAATCATGAAAACTGCTATAGTTTGTGTTAATTCCGTTATCTCTAACATTGTAGAAGATTTCTCATAATGTAATCACAAATACAAAAGTTATATTATTTACACGGATATTCCTTGGGTTCTGCCCAATGGTGAGACATTTTCATGATATTTTTTTTTTATTTCTAATATGAACCTAGCACTTTTCGTTGTCAAATCATAACCGAATCGTATAAATGTGACTTTGTGGATCATGCACGACTCATTACTGTGTATGCCGGAAATTATAGGTTTTCCAAATCGTCCAGGACATCAGTTGATTTGTTCTACTAGATCAACCAAGACTGCAATAATGTCTGTAGTATCGAAATATGTCCAATCAGATTCAAAGTGTCTATGTGGATCATGCATGATCTATTTCCGAGTAAACCAGATGTTCAAGGTTCTTCAAATCATCCTGGAGTTCAGATAATTTGATCTACTAGATCAACCGAGATTGGGACAATGTTTTTAGTATCGAAATATTTCCAGACAGATGCACAGTGTCTATGTGGATCATGCCTGAACTATTGTCATGTATACCAGATGTTTTAAGTACTCCAAATCGTTCTGGGCCTCATAGCCTAGTCAGTAAAGCCACGGTATTACTAAGCCGGAGGCGGCGGGTTCGATTCCCGGTCCGGTCGAGGGAATCTTTCGGGCTGGAAATTTTCTCGACTTCCCTGGGAATACAGTATAATTGTGTTTTTGCCACACAATATACAAATTCATGCATTGGTATTGGCATCGAAAGCTCTCAATTAATAATTTTGAGCGTGCATTTAGTACACTAAGTTGAGAGCATGCAATAAGCTAATAAAGACTGGACTCGGAAAAAATGAGACACACAAAAATTATCACCAAAAATTCATTTTAAATAAATCGGATACTTCTCAAATTTTCAGGGATTAAATAACTATATATTAGCTATGTTTTGGCATAATTTATTTATTGAATTTCCTCCCCCAAGCTGAATGCTCGTACATTTCTCTTAACACTGCTCATGAGATCTTGGGCGAGGCTTTGTCTATCTTCCTTACACAATTTCTCCCAGTTTTTCTTCAAAGCTTCATCGGTTTTGAATGTTTTTCCGCTTTTCTTCAACTTCTTCTTCATTATCGCCCAAAACTTTTCGATCGGACGAAGTTCTGGTGTATTTGGCGGGTTCACCTCCTTCGGGACCACATTAACGCCCTTCGCTTCGTACCAATCCATTACAGGCTTGGCGTAATGGCACGAAGCGAGATCCGGCCAGAACAGCGTGGGACCACGGTGAGAGCGGAGGAAGGACAGCCAGCGCTTCTGCAAGCATTCCTCTTGATAAATCTGCCTGTTTATGGTGCCGGTTGTACCGAACGGCTTGCTGTACCGTCCGCACTCGCAGATCGCCTGCCACAACATGTACTTCTTCGCGAATTTGTCCATCTTTCTCTTCCGGAACTTTTCCGGAACCTCCATGCGGGACGTACCGACAAAAAACTCGAGGCCGGGGATTTGTTTGGTGTCTGCCTTGATGTATGTCTCGTCGTCCATGACGAGACAGCCTGGCTTGACGAGCCACTCACGGTACAGCTTCCGCGCATGCAATTTGGCCACCGTGTTTTGCTTGTCAGTCCGGTTTGGCGCCTTCCTGACCTTAAAAACACGTAGTCTAGCCCACTTCATGGTCTGCTGGACGAACCACATCGACGAATTGACCTTTTTGGCCACGTCTCGGGTGGAAAGGTTCGGGTTATTCTTAAAGTACTGCCTTATCTTCCGCGCCTTCTCTGGGTATTCCGTTTTCGGTTTTCGGCCGCTTCCAGCGCGCCGCTCGATGGTCTTCGTCTCCTGGAACATCTTCACAACGCGGGACACGGTGGAATGGTGGATTCCAAGCCTTTTGCTGATCCATCTGTGCGACTGACCAGGATTATCGATCACCGCGCCCAAGATTTGCTGGCGTAGCTCTTCTTGTTTCGAATGCATCTTGAAAACTACTTGACAGACAAAATTTTGTACACATATACATAACACTCTAAACTAGTATTACCCAAAATTTCATTAATTTTTACCCACGCGATAAAAAGTTACACCCAAAACAAAGTGTAGCATTTTTTCCGAGTCCAGTCTTTATGCACTAATCAATAAGCTTGAAATGCGAATAAGAAGAAGAAGAAATCGTTCTGGAGTTCAGATGATTTATTCAACTAGATCAACCATGACTGGGATGAAGTCTGTAGTATCAAAATATGTCCAAACAGATTCATAGTGTCTATATGGATAATGTTTAATTATTTCCACGTATACCAGATGATCTAGGTTCTCCAAATCGTCTGTAGTTCAGATAATTTGTTTTAGTAGATCAACATAGACTAGGATAATATCTGTAAATATCGATTTGGAAATCCTATAACATTTGGCATGATCCACATAGACACTGCAAATTTGTTCGGGCATATTTCGATACTACAGATATTGAATTAGTCTTGGGTGATCTAGTAGAAAAATAACCTGATCTACAGAATGATTTCAGAACCTAAACATCTTGTATACGTAAGTCGTATAGGTCGGGTACAATCCACATAGACACTTTGAATCTGTTTGGACTTATTTCGATACTACAGACATTATTGCAGTCTTGGTTGATATAGTAGAACAAATCAACTGAACTCCAGGACGATTTGGAGAACCTAGAATATCCGGTATACATGGCGATTACTCGCTTATATACGATTCGTTTATGATTTGACAACGAAAAATTGCTATGTTCATATTGGAAAAAAAGGAAAATGTCTCACATTTGACAGACCTCAGGATATTTCCGTGTAAATCCGGTGTGACTTATGGAATTGAGATAATTTTTCGATTATTTACAGGGTGTTTGGTTTGAACCGGTAAAAAATGGAGAGTCAAATGAACAACAAAATTGATGACAGCAAAATCATCCGGGACGGAAAGGTTACAATGAATTTCACATTTTTTTGTGACAGCACATCAGTCCCTTCGCGATTTTCGCGACATCATTTAATGTTTCCGCGATTTTCGCGACTGAAAGTTCAAATCCGCGACAAATCCGCGAAAATCGCGAAATCCGCGAAATTCGCAAAATCCGCGCCTGTTGTAACAACCCTGCATTTGTTGTTGCACCAAAGATATTCGCGACGCACGGTGAGTCGAACCCCTCGATATAAATCAACAGAAAAACAACACACATTCACAGCAACGGTAAGCTATCTCGGCTCTGTTCGCCTTGGCAGCGTACACTTAAAGAATAAATCACATATCCAATGGAAAATATTCATTAGAATTTCACATAACTTTCATGTGATATCATAAGGGCCTGTTCATAAACTACGTAGACAGTTTTTTGGGTTTCTTGACCCCCCTCCCCCTGCGTAGACCCCCCCCCTACGTAGACCCCCCCCCCTACGTAGACCCCCCCTTAAACTGTCTACGTAGTTTATGAACAGCCCCTAATTGGGAATTGCACCACAAACTCACATGAACCTTATGTGTCAAATGAAATTTAAGTGATTTATCATATAGAACTCATGTGATTACATGCATGTTATGTGAAATTCAGATAGATATCATTGGTTTTGTTAATGGAAAAATATTATGTGCATTCCCAATAGAAACTACATGCAAACTTCTTCCGTGTAGAGTAGGAAGATCAGACACTCCAATTAGAAACTCCGGCCGTGTCAGTTCTGTTTCGTTTATCCATCGTCGACGATTCGTCGCACCTGAATAAAAAGTAAAGTTTAATTATACCGAAGGTCTTTGCCTGCTTAGAGTTCGTGTGTATCCGAAACGGAGTGAACAAACTGCAGGATTAGCCCGAGGCCCAGGTACGGATTTTGTGATCTCCTCTCGTCACAACAAATTGGTGCCGTGACTAGAATTGCTCGCGAGTGAGTGCGATCGCGGACAACAACGCTTCAGCCATCCGCACTGGCAATTGGCTGGCATGGTTTCTGACTACTCTGGTGGTTGATACCAAGCAACAATTCCTAGCTACAACGGCAACTGAAGCCAACCGAGGGCGTTGGCCATCGATTCTTTCTAGATCCT